GCAACCGGTATTGAAAAAGTTTTGCAATCTAAAAACAGAATAAAATAAACTAAATAAATAAAGAAGGTGCAATTCATGCATTAACAATGATTTATACTTTAATTATAATAAGGCGTCTGTCTAGCATCTAAATAGAAACTGTATAGATCCCAAAACAATTTAAACCGAACAACGTAAATCTGATTCAGTATAAATAAATAGACAGTTTACATGTACTATATCCACATTGTTGATCAGAAGTAATAATTATCATCGAATGATTAGAGTTTCGTCACGCGGAATCGTTTTTCAATTACGACGGAGAGATGATGACCTTAATGAGCTAGCTAACAAGTCGGAGGATGATGGAAAGAAACACAAAATGTATAGCGAAGTCTTGATAATTATTACGCTTTCCTCTGGTTCTCTGTACTATGGTGCTGGGTGCACGCGAATAATTCAATTAAATCTTGTAAAATGATAAAGGTCAGCTTGACGGGTGTTTAGAAATGCATGCAATCAACATCAACGTTGCTGGAGGTTCATGGGTTATATACAATTATAATACCAGCGATCCAGTCGCGAAGATTCTACTCGGACATAAAGAGCGTTGCTAGGCGACAGATCTGTGACTAACGCTTCTTTAAGACCTTACGCTGCTTACGTAATAACTCGTACGACAATATGCGTAAAATTCCACAAGGGTTTATGAACGTCTTGAAGTTAGTTTCAAAGAAACATTGACCTACACCATTGTCACAAATTGCTAATTATAATTCTTAACCCAAATCAAGTACACTTTTCACATCGTTCAAATTTAAATTATCAATTACATTTCATCTATCTTTATTATATATTACTATTTCGTGTTAATTTCTAAAGTTGAAAGGATTTTATTGACAGAAATTAAAACCTTTTTCAAAAATTCGGCAAAATGTTTCTGTACTGAAATCAATTCTACGAAGTTCCAAAAATATTCTTATAGTTTGGTTTATACGACATTTACCACGAAACATTAATAATATCAGAATTTCGAAGTATTGAAAAGAAAACACAGAACTATTCTTCGAATTTGCAGAAAGGTTGTATTTTCTTAGGAAAATATATGATTATGTATAAAAGAAAAGTTGAAAGAAATGATAGGAATTTTTAAAAATATCTGTAATTAATATATTTGAAATGATGATTTGGCAATTTAAGCATTTAATTACTTTTAAAAAATAGATTTTACCGCCAAAAAAATATCAAAAGAGCCGGGATTTGAATTTGCCAAAATTTGCTATGTGTAAAAATGACCTCCTATAACGCTGTTTCGTTTAGCGCTTTATCTTTAGAAACGAGGTCTTAATGTATATTTTTTCATAGTTTACTATACTTATAATGTATTTAGATTACAATCTCCATATTGTGATAATATTGTAAATCTGTTATTTTATATAAAATAAATGTTTGATATTTTACTGTTATAATAAATATTATTAATATTGTTAATATAATTATGATTATTTATCCATTGGCATAATAATTACAGTATTTTGCATTGATATAGGATCCATCATAAAATACCATGGAAACTTTGGAGTATTCCAATAATAGTAATATAGTCTATGCCAGTGATTCTCAAAGTGAGGTTCATGACCCACAGGGCTAGAAATATTTAGGGGGTCACAGAAAAATTAATGGCAGGTCAATTCGAGATGTTTTTCTACACATACCCATTCTTCGTGGGGTCGCAGGAATTTCTTTAAGTGGGGTGGCGAACCATAATGTTTGAGAAACGCGAGTCTATGCGACTCTATGTATAAGATGCAACTGTGAACATTTTCCAGTATATAAGTAATTGGAAATGTTACGTGGAAATTTTAACGCAGATGGAATCAAATTAAAAAAAAACAAATAAAATGCCACAATTAATAATTAACCTACTGAACTAGAATTTTATAAATATCATCTACAATTATCGTAAACATGTGTGAAACATTTGACATTAAACCATTGCATAAAATAACAAAGAATACATACGATTCTCTCATCGCATTTAATAACAATTACATCCAACCGTTGCATAAATGGAAACCAGTGACATGATTTTATGTACGATATGATTAATGTTACGTATTAATCAAAACTGTCAACTTTGGAAAAAAGTAAAAGTTGACATTACTGGTATGCTCTTGTTTTTATACTTTCCTTTCTACTTTGTTATTCTTGCAATTGGATTATTGCAATATTTATAACGTTTGGTCGTTAGCAAGGCAATTCAAATTGAACGGTTTACGTTAAACAGGTTATTATTTTTTTTTGTTCAATATATTAAATAACATAATTATTATATTAAGTAAACTGAATGTGAGTAAGCATCAACTGGGATGCGCATATTTTACCGATTCAATTTCGCAGGACAATTACACGCAACGATCAATTTGCGTTTATTAATTTCGTTTTGCTTTTCTTTGCACTGCGAAACGTCCCGCTGGATTTAACAATTTCACAGTATCGAAATAATTGTCGGGCGTTCGCACATTCTCACGCACTTACGAGCATAATCCCTGATAATAAATATTTCTGGAAAATATTTGCACCTACAAAGAAGTCTACAAGAAGTGTCGCTGCGGTCGTTAAATACCCCCAACAACAGTGTAATTACTTTACAATTTAAATTTATTTTATGTCCCTTACTTTATTACTCACTGCACGTACTTGTTAATTATCTATTGCATAGATGATATACTCAGGTCATTTCTAACTAGAGTTTGTTTTAATGAACACACATAATATTTAGTTTCCTCTTTCAATAACATCTATTTTACATGTCCATAGAAAATAACTGCAGCAATTATGGCAATTTTACTACAGAAAAATTATAAAATAAAGATATTTTCTACAGGAAAACAAACATATTCAATTATTTTATTTATAAAAATTATAGGCAGTAATTATTTAAAAAAAAATCTCAACACTATAAAACACGAAATATACATTTTATACAAAGAATGCACTTGATTTTTAAAACTGTTTCTTATTATTTTCAATTAAGATTAACAATTAAAAAGATATTTATTGAATAAACTTGTATGCATGAGTTGGAATTGATTGTGAATAATATTTGAAAATACAGCCAATATCTCAAACTGTCTGAAACAGGACTAATCGAGACTTGACTTGGATTTTATTGATTTTATTTATATTGACTTTTATTTTGTTGAATTGAAATTTTCAAATCGGACTATAGAGAATTCGGACTAATCGCGACACATTACACAGCTATTGACTATTTCGCTTTCCTAAATTTTACTGAATTTGCAAATTAAATGTTATTAGTAGTTTTTTTTTTAAATAAATGAATAACAATGGAAAAAAAGAAACGAAAACCTTTATTGTTAATAATTTATACGAGTCATTACTGTTGTCAATGTCAAACGAGTTCGATAGCATCTGCAAATTGCTTTTTGGGTGAAAAAAAAAACGTAAAATAACAAATTTGAATACAAATTGCGTACGATTTTTAGGAAACGGAATTGTTATGGTGCATAAAATGTAATAGCATCGAATGAAACACAATGGATTCGTTTTGAAGTAATATGACCTTGTAAGGTTAATGTACTTTTAATGAAAAAAAACACACACATACCTACATCTAGCATGCTAATATTAAAATTAAGCAAATGAATTAGACTGCATGTTTTTAGTTAATGAAAAAATTACTTGAAAAAAAAACTAGTCAATAGAAATATATATATGTGTGTATCAATGTGTACAAGTTTTACGAATCATATTTATTAAATATTTGTATACAAGTATATATATAGAATTAAGTTAATAGTACAATAGTATTTTATTATATAATACATGAAATAAATTCAGTAATATTTTTCTATGTCCATCATGAAATATTGCTATCTGTTAATTTCAATGGAATAATAACGGAATGAATATATGAAAGTAAAGGTGCTTTTAGTCAGTAGTAATAACCATCATTTTATTTCATATGTAGATCTTAAATTTAGAACCCCTAATTTAAAAAGAATCGACAATTTTAAAATCATTGAAAATGTATCATTATATGTAGAAGCGGCAAAGAAATACCTATAAAATTATTAAAAATGGAAAGCCGGTGTCGATAAGATTAAAAAACGGACAAATTATTAGGACAAAATACTTGCCAAAATCTGGTAAGTAGACATTTACTTGAGAAGTAAACAAATATTAATTTTCTTCACGTTTCAAAAAGAAATAAATGATGATTATTAAAAATCATTTTCCTCCAAATTTAGACGCTACGGAGAACATAAATAATTTGTTTAATGCTATTCATATGGAAAAATCAAAGCGAAGTCGATACCAATTCATAACTAACAATTTATAACTTCAATTTTAAATGAGACAAAGTCGAATGAGCAAAAAATCATGAAGAAATGGTTTCAAATGGACCAAACAGAAGTTTTATTCATTCCTACTTCACGTCTTCACGATTCTCTATGTCAAATTCTATCAATTGAGAAGTATTCACAAAGGATGTTCTGGCAACTTGGTTTTTATTATTTGTAAAAAGTTTGTACTAAATTGCAACCAATGAGATTGACATTTGTATTTAGTCCTATTGTACAAAAAAATATATTTTACATTTTAATAAAATACTTTTACTATCAAATAAACTATCTTATTCTCTCTATAATATATATATTAATAAATAATAATTCAAATGTATTATCGATTTAATAAGTTTACCAAAACAAATTTATAATAAATAAGTAGATAATTGAAATATTGATTATCTACCTGCTTTTACATTATCCATCATTTTATTTCACTTTCACATTTAATTTTATTGAACCCTCATAACAAAAGGGTCGCCCATTTTACAATCTTCTTTCCCACTTCAAAAAATTACCAATTTTAAGAAATGGTCTTAAAGCCATGTATAAATATCTGCAAATGTTTGAATTTGTAGTCAGTGCAATTTCTGCAGCAAACCAAATAGTATCTACATTTTTCTAGTTTTAAAAATTTCTCCATCCATTATGGGTAAATATTGATATTATATAGTGATGTCTTTTGGTATTAATTTTTTTCTTGCAGCTTCTTTCATTTTAGTAAACCTGGCATCAAATAACAATGTGGAAAAATATAAAATTATTAAACAAGCAAATATTGTAAGCACATACTTGCAGGTGGGAAAACCCGTTAAGATAAGGTTGGAAAACGACAATATTATTAAGGCAACATGTTTGTTTAAATCTGGTAAGTGTACATATTTGCTTAAAAATTAAACAAATAGTAATTGTTTCCTTTTAATATTTCAGACAAAATCAAAAGTTTGATGGCTTTAAAAAATCAACTGGAGGAATCTGGACCAAACAGAAGTTTTATTCGATCCTCTGTTTTAAATTCTATCGACTCTGACGATGACAAGAAAGCTAGACCACAGATGAATTTGAACAATGTACCTGATCTAATTGATGTCGTCAGTGAAAAATTTCAACATTTGAATATAGAATTTGAAGATATGCAGCAATAACCAACAAAAGCGCAATTGAACAGTAGAAATGCAAAACTTAAAAAAAATGACCATTAATTTTCATATTCTGTGAAAACTTTTATACTAAATGCAACCAAAGAGACGGATTATTTTTTCTCTAGTGTTTAAAATTAGAATAAATTATATTATTTGTGAAGTAAAATGTTCTGAGCGTTTTTGTCCAATACATCGAGCTTCTTCTTGAGACCAACCTTATGCACTAAAGCCATGTAACGAAAAACGCTCAGAACTTTTCACCTCACCTATTATTTTTTTTCTTATATCATTCCATCTAAAAATAAATCATTTACTTATTTATTTTTAATTGCAATATTTATATGTGTGAAACAAGGGAATCGTAGATTTACAATTAAATCTTTCTTAATTATATATCTATCTGGTTTACCAACTAATTAGACAATTGCAGTTCAGTTTCAATGTCATCGGACTCCGTAATAAATTATTAGAGTCTAACTTATAAAATGATCAAATGTCATTTTTTATTTTAATGTTGATGGAGCAGCTAATAAACGTTTATATCTGAAATATTAAATTATTAAAAAAAAATATTTGCAAAATTTGAAATTACAAAATGTGTTTATAATTAAGATGATTATATCAGTTTCGCATTGTTATATTGAAACTATTGTATACTTTATATGATATATTTTTCAATTGACGTAAAAATGAATATATTATAAGCAATATATGCTCCTTGCAAAGCCGGTATCGATAAGATTAGAAAACGGAGAAAATATTTGGACAAAATACTAGGCAAAATCTGGTAAATGAAGACATTTACTTGAGAAGTAAACAAATATTATTTTTCTTCGCGTTTCAGATAAAAGAAAAAAAAATGATGACTATTAAATTCATTTCAGCATTCACCTTTAACAGTTAATTATGATATGCAAAAGAAAAATGTAAAAGATGCTGAAATAAAATTCAAAAAACTCAAATGAACAAAAAAATGAACAATTTTATTTAAATTTATTTGTATTGCTGAAAATAATGAAATGGACAAATGGACCAAACACAAGTTTTATTCGTTTCTCTATGTTAAATTCTATCAATTGAGAAGTATTCACGAAGGAAGTTCTTGCAACTCTGACGGGTCCTTTATTCTGACAATTAATTTTATATTGTTTTTATTATTTGTGAAAAGTTTGTACTATATTGCAACCAAAGAGATTGACATTTTTATTTAGTCCTATTTTACAAAAAAAAATTAATAAAATACTTTGATTATCAAATAAACTATCTTATTCTCTCTATAATATATATTAATAAATAATAATTAAAATGTATTATCGATTTATATGTTAATAACATTACCAAAACAAATTTATAATAAATAAGTAGATAATTAAAATATTTGATTTTCTACCTGTTTTTACATTAAGCATAATTTTATTTCACTTTCACATTTAATTTTATTGAACCCTCATAAAAAAGAGTCTCCAATTTTACAATCTTCAACCCCACTTCAAGAAATTATCAATTTTAAGAAATGGTCTTAAACCATGTAAAAATATCTATTATGGGTAAATATTGATATTATCTAGTGATGTCTTCTGATATTAATTTCTTTTGTTTTTCTTGCCTCTTCTTTCATTTTAGTAAATATTGCATCAATTAACGATGTAAATAAATATAAAATTATTAAAAAAGCTAATATTATAAGCACGCACTTGCAGGGGGGAAAGCCCGTTAAGACAAAGTTGGAAAACGACGAAATTGTTACGACAAAATGTTTGTTTACATCTGGTAAGTATACATACTTGCTCAAAAATTATATTTCAGATATGCAGCAAAAACCATCAAATGTGCAGATGAACACAAGTAGAAATGCAAAAGTTAAATAAAGTGACCATTAATTTTAATATTTATTTATTTTTATCTCTGAAAATGTTTGTACAAAATGTACCAAAGAGACTGATTATTTTTTCTCTAGTCATACTGTACAAAACATATGTTTAAAATTCGAATAATTTATATTATTGGTGAAATAAAAAGTTCTGAGCGTTTTGTCTCATACATTTCAAAGAATTTTTTTTAAAGCGTTATGTCGCCTTTAAGTCATGAGATATGGCTCACTAAAGCCATGTAATGAAAAACGCTCAGAACTTTTCACTTCACCTATTATATATTATATATTTTCTTATATCATTCCATCTAAAAATAATTGATTTACTTATTTATTTTTAATTGCAATATTTAGATGTATGAAACAAGAGAATCATAGATTTACAATGAAATCTTTCTTAATTATATATCTATCCGGTGTACCAACTAATTAGACAATTGCAGTTTCAGTGTCATCGGACACCGTAATAAAATATTAGAGTATAACCTATAAAATGATCAAATGTCATATTTTACTTTTTATTTTAATGTTAGATAGAGCACCTAATAAACGTTTATGTCTGAAATATTAAATTGAAATCCGAAGAATAAGTTATTTTGGTTTTTGTTCTTTGAATGTACAGACAGTGGCTGGCTTATTGGCGCGTAATGCGGAAGCCAAATGAGGACGGGGGAAGGACGAGGAAAAAGAAGTAATATTAAATTATTAAAAAAAAAATTTGCAAAATTAAAAATGTGTTTAGCATCCATCGATATTAAGATGATTATATCAGCTTCGCATTGTCATATTGAAACTATTGTAAACATTATATGTATAATTTTCAATTAAAACTAATAACAATAATTTATTATTCATGTATTTGATTTTGTTGAATTATTCATAATAAACCATAACAATAAGAAATAATCCAAAATAAAATTAGATTATCAATTGTCGTTATTAATTATTGTTGTATTTGTTTTCACTGACTTATTCTTAAGAAATATTCTAAATTAAAATTAATTTATTGTTATTAATATTAAATAATAACAATTAATAAACTAATTTTAGTATAGAATATTTCTTATTGTTAAATTTTATAATTAATAAGTCAATACAATATTAATTATTATTTTTGCTAATAAATTATTATTATGTATTTACATATTTTTTTTTGTATAAAATTTGTTAAATTTTATAATTATTTTTTTTTATGTTATATAATATTTCTTGGCCAATAAATAATTATTATTACAATAATAAATGAGTTTCTTAAAAATATTTTTTTGACTATCCTTCGCCGAATTGGCGGGTGGAAAAAATGATTATTATTAAAAATCATTTGGAGGAACAACAGTATTTATACGCTACGGGGAATATAAATAATGTGTATAATACTATTGATATGGAAGAATCAAAGTCAAGTCGATATCAATTCACAACTATCAAAAAGGAAAAAGACGACGTTGATGAGTTGATTGATTTATTTTAACTAGCCAAAGTTAACTATGATAAAGATTAGGAAATATGAAAGATGCTGAAATGAAATCTTAAACAGGCGAATAAACAAAACTTAAAACAGCGAGATTTTTATATGTGTTGCTGAAAATGATGAAATGGTTACAAATAAACCAAACAGAATTTTATTCGTTTCTCTATGTTAAATTCTATCAATTGAGCAGTATTCACGAAGGAAGTTCTGGCAACTCTGACCGGCAATGAGAGTCCTTTATTCTGACAATTAATTTTATATTGTTTTTATTATTTGTGAAAAGTTTGTACTAAATTGCAACTAAAGATATTAACATTTTTATTTAGTCTTATTTTACAAAAAAATATATTTAACATTTTAATAAAATACTTTTACTATCAAATAAACTATCTTATTCTCTCTATAATATATATATTAATAAATAATAATTCAAATGTATTATCGATTTAATAAGTTTACCAAAACAAATTTATAATAAATAAGTAGATAATTGAAATATTGATTATCTACCTGCTTTTACATTATCCATCATTTTATTTCACTTTCACTTTTAATTTTATTGAACCCTCATAACAAAAGGGTCGCCCATTTTACAATCTTCTTCCCCACTTCAACAAATTACCAATTTTAAGAAATGGTCTTAAAGCCATGTATAAATATCTGCAAATTTTTGAATTTGTATTCAGTGCAATTTCTGCAGCAAACCAAATAGTATCTACATTTTTCCAGTTTTAAAAGAATCTCCATCTATTATGGGTAAATATTGATATTATCTAGTGATGTCTTCTGATATTAATTTCTTTTGTTTTTCTTGCAGCTTCTTTCATTTTAGTAAATATTGCATCAATTAACGATGTAAACAATTATAAAATTATTCAAGAAGCTAATATTATAAGCACTTACTTGCAAGTGGGAAAGCCCGTTAAGATAAGGTTGGAAAACGACCGAATTGTTACAACAAAATGTTTATTTAAATCAGGTAAGTGTACATACTTGCTCAAAAATTAAACAAATACTAATCCTTTTTATATTTCAGATAAAATCAAAAGTTTGATGGCTTTAAAAAATCATCTCGAGGAATCTGTTCCTGATTTGGTTAGAATTGGAAGAAACAGAAGTTTTGTGAACAAAGTAGCTGATCTAATTGATGTCAGTGAACAATTTAAAAATTTAAATATAGAATGTGAGTCTGACGATCACAAGAAGACTAGACCTCAGTTGAATATGAAAAAAGTAGCTGATCTAATTGATGTCAGTGAAAAATTTGAAGAATTGAATATGGAATGTGAATATATGCAGCAATAACCAGCAAATCCGCAGATGAGTAGATTAATGAACAGTAGAAATGCAAAACTTAAATAAAGTGACCATTAATTTTAATATTTATTAATTTTTATCTGTGAAAATGTTTGTACAAAATGTAACCAAAGAGACTGATTATTTTTTCTCTAGAGTTTAAAATTAGAATAAATTATCGTATTTGCAAAGTAAAATGTTCTGAGTGTTTTATCCCATACATCGAGCTTCTTCTTGAGACCAGCCTTTTGTAAATGGTTCCAAACGGTTTTCTGGCCAATCTTCAGTTCTTGGGTAATGGAATAAGTGCTCGCATACCGATCAGGCATGACGATTTCCATGATTTTATCAACATTTTCGACGATTGGCCTAC